TATATATATATATATATATATATTTGTATATATTTGTGAATGTAACATAAAAAGGTTCAATTAATCTTTTTATGTCATTTCTTTTCTTAATTTATTATTCAAAACGAAACGCTTTCGCATACTTTTAAATTCACATCCTGTCCTTTTATCTATTTTTGGTTCAAGTATGCATTATTTAAAAGTAAGAAATTTTTCCTTTGGCTCTTTGTGGAAATTCGCGACCTATTTAATAAACCAATTACAATTACTAAGATTTCCCTTATTCCCCTAAAATGAGATAATTTACTGATTTTCCTTGCAAGATTTCACCTAACTTCTATGGAGCAATACGACGATTTTGTGTCACTCTCTTTCGTTCATCATCACATAATGATTAAATTAAATTAATTTGCTTTTTTTAAAGTCCTGAACCAGTTTGTGTTGCTCATACGACTGCCACAATTATATATACACATATGTTTCTAATGTGTATGAGTTTCTGCCTTCATTTTTGACGAAGGTTAAAAAAATATATATTAAGAGAGGTATTCATGAAACACTCTGTATATTATATTTAAAGAATCTAATATATCATCAGAAGACGTTCATATTACAAATTTCAAATTATTACATTCGATTTTGATCTATATATTCTACTTACATAGAAAGTATTGCTGAAACAGGGAATCTTAGAGGTTCCTCTACCTGACAGTCCGTGAGAGTAACATCTAAATTCAACGGTTCTGAAACTGAGAAAAGAAACTGCATGAAAATCAATTTAGTTATTAGGCCAGAGTCGGAAGTATTTGCTTAATCTGCACTTGTGTAAGAAATTAAGAGAATTGAGCAGACTTGTTCGATTATCTCTAGAACTACTGGACTGATTTTAATGAAATGTGATATGTACATACATTGATACAATGCAAAAAAAATTAAACATTCAACAATTGTAATACATAAGCATGATCGTGCGTAACACTAGTTGGAATCGCAAAGTATGAAACAGCGGATGCTGAATAAACGAAAATAAAAAAATGGTTAATAGGGGGTATGGTTCCCTCTTACAGGTCTTGTAGTGTGATTTCATACTTGAAGAAAAGAAGATTATAATTTCCTGTGGCGATTGTCCTGAATTGTCCTGTGGCGATTTTCATACCTTTCGACTCTAACGAGTGTTACGCACGATCATGCGTGTGTATTAACAATTGTTGAATGTTTATTTGTTTTTTATTGTATCAATGTATGTAAATATCACATTTCATTAAAATCTTTCCAGTAGTTCTAGAGATAATCGAACAAGTCTGCTTAATTCTCTTAATTTCCTACACCAGTGTATATCAGTAACTGATATTTTTAAAGGTAGAAAAAACTCAAAATATTTCATATTCAGTCTGTATTCTATTCTATTTCATCTACAGCGTAGAGCCATGCGTCATATTTTGTTTACGTGTAGTCAAAATAATGCTGAGTTGTAATCACGATTACAAGTTATTTATTACTGTAGTTTATAATTGTATTTACTATTACATTTGTAATCAAAATCGTGATATGCTGTATTCATGATTACCAGTAATTGATTACTGTAATAATTAGTTTCGTCCAACTTTGGTTTTAATATTGTATTTATGTTTCAACGGTATTATGCATTCAGCTTCATTATGCGTTATCGTAACCAAATAGTATTGTAAGCTGAGTTAGAAAATAAAACGCCAAACGAAATATATTTTGAATTGATATCAAGTCTATTTTATTTTATTGCTGGTAAAGCAGATGATTCAAAACATCAAATTTATCTAACTGTAGTGATTTTAAATCTCAATATAAAATAAGAGGTTGAAAAGCTGGATACCTGCATTTTTTGAATAAAAATAGATCAATCTGCTTCTTTCGTAATGTATAGTGAGGAAAAGTCTAAAAATATGTCACAATTTTCATGGGAGGTTTATGCATATAAAGTTACAAGTAAAATAGCAAACACTTGAAAAAATTATAACTGGTTTGAAATTTCAAAAAGGTGGGGGATAATGTTTGTGTTACAGTGAAATGACAGAAATGGGTGGTTGTTGACTTCCACCGGTGAATGTTGACAATCACAGAATAATTGTCAACATTCAAGAATGATGGAATACATACTAGGTCTAGTTAAGTGCCACTGCCCTATATACATTTGCACGGTATGCCCTACATCCATCAGTGTTTTTTAAGATCAAGTGTCACTTCCCGGTATGCATTTAAACGGTACTCCGAACACTGATGTTTCTCCTCATCTATCCTCAGCAGATATTAAAGTACCGATTAAATATAATAATATCAACGAATAAATAACTATTAAATCGGATATAACAAATAGTATTTAGAACATTCACCAAAGTGACTATGTGATTGTTGATGGTGAAAGTCGACATTCTCTTGATTTTGGTCATCCACGGTAACATATACATATTCAAAGATTTAATTTGTGAATAAACAATATCTTACGAGTACTGATCGCTTTGTTTAGGTCTTCATCGGTGCATGATGATGGCATGCAAATTCCTCCATAGAAACCAAATCTTAGTGGTAAGTCATTTTCAATATCGTATCTAATCTACAAAAAAAATTACAACTACATATACAATATTTTTTTAAAAAGTAAGAATGCATTTAAATTATTTATTTTAGTACCAAAAATAAAAATCGTTGTTTTAGAAATTTTATAGGTTTTAGAGGTTAATTGCTTCAAAGAAATCACATGCTATATCTCACAATGACTATTTTTACAGATTGAAATCTGATAGTTACATTTAGTTTAAATACATGAAGGTAGTTTCAGATTATATATTAAATTCTCATACAACTGTGCCAGTTTAATTTAGAACACATCTTTTTCTTTATAATTTCCATGCGCAGACTCTATTATAAATCTTCTTACTATGAGACAGCTACAGCAGCTTAATTTTGAACGAAACCTTCTCTTAATCATTGTAGTTTTCAACAAGCACTATGACCCTAACAGCAAAATAACTTTGACCCTCATTGGATCAATATTCACGAATTTTGTCTCAACAAAGGTTCTAAAGACCGTTATTTTCCGATATTGGCGCATATATAGAACTGTCCAATATTTTACTGCCACTTTACAGTCAATATCGGCCTTATATAGAATTTTCAAACTGACCCGATATTTTATATCCAATATTCAGACTCTATAGGCCAATATTAACCCTATATAGGCCAATATTAAAAAATCTAGACAACCCAATATTGGTTCATTGGTGCATGTTGATATAGGACCCATATTGAACCAATTTTGAGCCAAATTGGGGCCAAGGTATAATTGTTGCTAGGGGAGTTTTTATAATTGACTTTCTTTCAGTGATGTGATTCAAATTGTTTAGGAATCGGTAAGCTTTAAAGTTATTCAGTAATCACTTAAAAGACTTGACTGCATGCATTTTTTTTTATTAACCCTATTGGTACAAAGTCAATAAATAACAAGTTAAAGGATATTTTAGGCATTCCAGAGTGGCCAACTACATATTTTATGAAGTGGTAGACTCTTAAAATATGAAGCTTTCTGAACTTTTGGTAATTTTGCCAGTAGTTTAACCCTTTCTAAAGTCGTGGTTAGTATACTAGGCGACATGACTTTTTACTTCAATACTAATGTAAGACTCGTTAATTCAATGTCGCGACTAAATCGATAACAAAAATCAATTTATAACTCCTTATTCTTTATTTCTTACCACAAAAAATGTTTCAGTTTACATGGTTATACTAAGTCTCTTTGGTACTTCGCTTTCGCCGAATTATTATCAAATTTAATATTGATTTTTTGAGGTTGGCTTTATTTTTGGCTATGATATCTTTCGATAAATCGCCAATCATCGATCTCTTTCCATGTCACTAACTGCCCTTTGGAAACAATTCATTTACTTTCAATTTCTAATCATTGGCGATTGGACTGTAGGCCTTTGTGGCCATATTCTATTTAATATTTACTTAATAAATCAATTTTTCCTAAACGATTTTATTCATTTTTCTAGGATAAATATCACTATATCATATCCAAATTAAGATATCCGAAGCGACCAAAAATATGCTTAATACTTTCAATGATGCTACCTAAACTAACCACTAAATTGAACTAATCACCACCAAGTTGGTAGAAGCTTTTGTGTCTTTTGTTTGGTTTTATATTAACTATGGCACTTATAAAGCATTTGTTTTCGTTTTAAAAAATAAAAAAAAACAGTAAATAATAACTGGCGTTTTGCTTAATGAAATAGTCATATCGAAAATAAATTTCGAAATAAATAAACAAAAACTCACCCAGTCAGGAGGTACACCGAATGCTTGATTGTAGCTCTTTTCAAATTGAGGGTTATGGTTCGGTGTTTGGAAGAGAGGATGACGCAAATGCATCATACAATACTTGCCTGTAAATAATCCAGCCCCATCGTTTGAAATTGCCTTTATTTTGATGCAGTCTTCTAGAGATCCATAGTCGATCATTGTTTGACCAAAGAAACTGCTGGGAAGTTTTCCTGATGCATCCAACACTACAAAATAAATGTATGCAAAAATACAGCATGTTTCATAATAACTTGCCTTAATATATAAGGTGTGGTTATTAATGTCCAGGTGCTGATTCCGGAAAACAAAAGATGGTTAAAATAGAAATGCTAACTCTTGTTCTACTGAATCGATGCGCTCGATACTTGAAACCTACGTTATATTTTTTTAAGTAATCTTTTGATCATGTAACTGAAGCTTCCTTCGAAAAAATAGAATTTTTTTAAATTCATCCAATGAGGCGAACCGGATTCGAATCCCAGTCGATACGAATTTCGCATCCGGCTTGCACCGACCACAAGGCTCACGAGAAATATCTTCAGTGGTAGACGGATCATGGGTTGGAGTCCCCGTGCCGTCAGGCTAACCTCGCGATGTTCTCGTGGTCTTCCTCTCCATGTAACGCAAATGCGGGTTAGTTCCATTAGAAAGTCCTCTACGCAGTCAAATTTCTCCCAATACTTGATGCAGGAGTTTCCTTGTCTTCTGGAAAGGGTTCAAAATTACAAAGCTACGGAGTTGAGCATTAGTAGTCGCAAACCCAAAAATTGAGTCGGCTGTTCTATGACGGTTATAAAATAAAATAAATGGTATTTGAGCTGTGATGGCTATTTGGATAGAGTGTTCACCTTCTGTTGAGGTGAATCGGGTTCGAATCGCAGCGAGGGCTGGTCGAGCACTTTACTGTAGAACAGTTCAACGAGAACCGATACCGCGCACCCTCGGCTCCTACGCGGCTGATGAAGGCCATCCATCCGTTTACTGACAGCCTTCTGTCAGCCTTGACTTCTGTGTTCTACTGGGAACCGGGTCATTACGATCAAGTCCACTGTGATACTTTTATTTCTAAAACCTAGAAATTTGCTAAGGAAAAAAACTCTAAAGTTGAAAACGGTATAATTGAAGAACATTTATAACAGAACTTAAATTCTAGAAATTTTTAAAGCCTAGTTCGGAAGTGTGCAGTAGCATGCGGAGTAAATATAGAAAAATTCCAAATGGTTACGCAATTCGGAAGACAGTTTCCATAGCCTATTTAGATGAGTCTTGGAAATTAATAGCCGCACTTCATATACTTTTATTATCCATTTTTAAAAACATTATGCTCATTACACTCTAAAAACTGTACCTCTTAAATAAAAGGCACAAGCTAAAAGTACCCTTCATTTTCTCGTGTTAGAGGCACATAACTAATGTGCCTTTAAAAATGAGAGGCACCACAAGAAATGAAAGGCACCAAAGCAAACGCGAGTCAATGCGCGGTACNAAATATAGAAAAATTCCAAATGGTTACGCAATTCGGAAGACAGTTTCCATAGCCTATTTAGATGAGTCTTGGAAATTAATAGCCGCACTTCATATACTTTTATTATCCATTTTTCAAAACATTATGCTCATTAGAAGTTAGTAGAAAAGGGCCTCAAATAATTTTTAGCAAGCCTATAAAAAGTGTCATGATATTAGTTCACCAAAATTGATTATTAGAATGTCACTATTATTATTAATTATTTTTGAGAATTACAGTTATAACTGTGGAAAATCCTAATCCAGAAAATTTTTACAGTGAAAGCTTATGCCAATTCAATTTACCAGTTAGAGTCTGTATTTAGCTAGAAAACTAATATTATATATATATGTAAAATCAAAATTAATCTTTTTATATATGGATCATAAACATAGAAAAACCACAAGGATCTAATTTTTCATCTCTTTAATTAACTTATTTTTACACTATTATGAAGAAAAAAATTATGCTGTTAGGATTAAATTTGTTATTAGATTTATTGATGATTTGTTATTAGATTTATTGATGACGATTTTCAGATTTGATAAATTATCTTTAATTTTCGAGATTATACAATTTTATTAAATAATATTTACTCCGAGGAGTTAATCTTGATTCGCAACCATGATGATAATATCTTCGATTTTTTGAATTTGGGTTTTGAAAAAGAGGAAAATATCAACTTTGTTGATTTATATGATAAATAAATAGTTTTTATTTTATTATGAATAAACGAATTATTTGGAATTCTAATGTTTCTAAAAACAAGTATTTAAATACCATTTTTAATGAAATGAATAGAATTATAAGAATATCTAGTTGCGTTTATTTATCCTTGAAACAAATATCTTAAAAACAAATTAAAATCGAACTCATTGATTATATGCTTTGTTAACTTATCTAGTAAATATTATTACCTTGCACACATCCATTTTTGGGCTAATTCTTTTTAACTAACAAATCAAATGTGCTTTAGTATTGCAGTAAGAACGCTCCATAAAACGAAATCCCCCCTCTATTTACACTTTTAACTCCATTTCAGCTTATTTTTTCACATTTTGTAATCTGGCAATTACGAAAATGTTTTAAATCATTCTTGAAGTATACCGGTAGATGTAATTTCATTTGACTTCGCAACTGGCCTTATAGATTTCGTTTTGTAATTTGTTCTGTTTTCTCTTTACATTTCATTTTCTTTCTTTTTTTTTTTTTGGGCTGATATATTTTTTACTTAATGTGTTCTATTTTGTTTCTATTTTTTGAGTGCTCCTCACACTATTGTAATGATATATTTTGCTTTGTCTGTATTGATACAATATTAGAAAGCACTCCTTTTTTGCTGATAAAATCTACTGAGCTAATGAAGAGATTATCTTAAATTTTTTTTTTTGTTTTTTGGCTTTTTAATATATTTTTTTAAAAATATTTTTTAAATGTGTTTTATTTTTTAAAATGTTTCTTCTTTTCATTAATCTTTATTTTTCATGATACAATTTCGCAACCTGAGTCATACAAAATTGTGGAGTAATATTTGCGGGGTTGGTGAGCGTTTTGAAGTCGGGGGCGAAGATTATTTCTAAAATTCATTTCCTTTGTTACGATTGTAGTTTTTAATTAATAGACGTCAATATTATGTATTTACATTTTGAATTAAAAATTTCATTAAAAAAAACAATAATCCTTATAAAATTATAATTATTTAAAAAAATATAATAACATGAAATGCTTTTCAATAATATTTAAGAAAAAGCTCTGTATTAAATCGAAGTAAAAATATACACTTACTTTCTAGGGCCCATGGCTTTAAATTTATAACTTCGTTAAAATACGTAATTATCCCATCTTTACATTGATTACTTATGTTAATATTTAAAAAGTTGCTGAATAACTGATAATTAAACGGTGCTTCATTAAAATCATTTTCTGGAAACACATCTATTGTAAGATATTCAGTTATATTACAAATATTTTTCGTTCCAATTTCACTAAAGGATGTACATCTATTGGCGAGATTATGACCAATAGTATTTTGATTAAAACTGAATAAAATAATCACAAAAATTAACCATTTCAGGCTTTTACAGATGGGGAATGGCGTATTCATTGCACACATACAATTTCTTGACACTCTTGAGAAAATTCCTCATTTGTTTGTTGCATAATGGATGCATGAGGATGTATGCGCGTCATGGCAATTTTGACGACTTTTTTTCTTCTTCCTTAATGAAAGGCAGTCGATATAATTTCAAACTTTTCCTTATTTCTAATTTCTGTTTCTTATTTGTTACTTCTCACTGATGTAAGTTGATAAGCAATTAATATAAAAAATTGTTTTAAAGTCAATTCCTACTTTGGTAAATAAAGAATTTTTTTTTACCTTTTTATTAAATAATAAAATTTTTTTCTCCCATATAAAACTAAAATAAATTATTTAAACTTGATTAATATTTGAAAAACCTTTGTTAACATCAAGTGTCATCCACTACAAGTTAAAAAAATTTATTTATTTATTTAAAGATTGAAAA